TGTAATTAAGTGATGCGGCACTACTTCCTGTGGACAGCTGGGTCCAAAAGTCGGTTCTCATCACCACCAACAACAGTGGAAAAACCAAAACAAATCCTGAACAGAAAACCAATCACCTAAGTGATTCCAGCATGAATTACTGAGCACTGGACTTATGCATGCACGTACCTATTGCCCTCTACTGGTCAAACGTTGGTCCACCATCATACATAGCTAATAAACACTAGCAACAACTGATGTTCATCTCAGGAAAGTACTATTCTAAAGAAAATAATTTTTCTGTTTGTAAGACTGAAACGATGGGTTCTGATATTCCACCAGCCTAATCCTGCCTGCAATACTAAAAGGCTCAAACTTCCATGTTTAAATACTACAAATAGTGACAGAGCACAGCTGTTGGAAATAAATATTCTGACAAGGTTAAATCCTAAAGTGCTTAAACAAGAGTAGGTCTGACAAAAAGTTTGGGTTTTTTTGAAGCCTTTTCACTTTTCAGAAGAGTTTGCAGGTATTCCCACTTAAAGCAACCTGTAGCTAGTTTCCAGAGTTAGCTTTCTCCCTGCTCCCCTCTTCTAAAATGCTGAACACTATTATAGTAGGTAAAACTAAAATTCTGGACAATTTCTATTTGCTACCAAGCAAATGCCTTTTAATCGACACAATATCTATAAACCTAAGTAATGTTTTGGCCAGCTACTATATCCCCAGAAGACACCCTTTCTACACAGCCAGACAGGGAATGTCCTCAACTGTGCATTAGGTTTGATGATCCCCACGTCAGTAAGTAAAGCCCGGTTCGGTAACCCCTTGGCCACATATTCTGCATGTGGGAGAGGAATTCCCAAGTTTTGACATGGGCAGTTTTTTGACTAGGTCAGGGAAGCTACCTGCCTTTCCTAACTTCTTCTCATTAGTATTTCCCACTGTTTATTATCAGCAACGGAAGTACTGATGTAATTACTCACCACATTTTAGAACTTGCCCGTTTACACAGGTTTCTTGCCTAAGAAAGCAAGCAACTTGGGTAGCTTCAAACAAAAATGTGTTTTACATGTTTATTTTATCAGCAGAGCCAGACAAGAACACCATGAGCAGTCTGCCATGATTTCTACTACACTGCACAAGGAAATAATTCTGCTTCATACTGGACCCAGATGAAAGCTCCTCATGCCAAGGAAAATAAAGACTTAGGGAAGCTGTGCCTTTGAAAATGAAGTTCCTAGGGGCAGTATGGTGGGACATCAGCCCACATCCATACACTAAATGTAGGCTGCTACAGGTGTGGCAGGAGTTCAGGCTGCCATGACAGCCCATGTAAATTTAGTCAGTGCTGTCAGTGGGACAGAGCGAGCAATGCAGCCTGCCCACCTCTGCTCCTCAGTGGGTTGCTGCGCTCTCCAGCCTCTGCTAACTAGTCCCAGGGACTGTGATGAAAGTTTTGGGACCAATGTTTAGGTGACCACTGGCATAGTAGGTGACTTAATCTGGACCCAAGCCTAAGCCAAGTATTTACAATATATTAATTAAAAAAAATTCTTTTGCTCAGGTGTGGAAGAAACTAATTTTCTTCATGCTAAAGGCATTTACTTGTATCAAGAAAGCTTCCAGCAGTACCTTCCTTGCTATTTGAATACTCGAGTCATGTACCATTCCTTCACCCTGAGTAGACATCAACAGCTACTACAACTTTAAAAAAAAAAAAGTGTCTATATAGAGAGAGTCAGAAGCGTTCTAGTCAGAGTTGTTTGCTGCACGTCAGACTCCTCACAAATACTGTGCTGCATAATGCTTTAGGTAGCCTAATGTTTTAGCCTTAATAATGCTTAGTCTGCTCCTTGCAGCTCTGTATCCTTTTACACAAGCTGCTGTTGCAGCATTTTCCAGAGCCTCCATGGCAGCATTGTTCCTTTTATTGCTCTCATGCTGTCATACTCACTGTCGTGCACTTGCAAACCTCAGTAACGTTTTTATGACAAGCTCTCCTGGGAAGCAGGTATCACTGGTGTGAGAATCACCCCTCTCCCCTCTTTTTTCTTCATTCAAAATTAAGCCACTTAAATATTTGATAAATATTCTCTAATAATATAGGTGCACAAGATATTAACAGCCAACGTCCAACAAACGCAGTGTTGCACACCTGTCATTGCTAACAGGGCCATGAATGGGAACAACCAACAAGCAGGTCCAGGTGAAAAGTATATAGTACTAGGTGAAAAGCATGGTGAGAAGTCATCTTCACCATCACTACATGCTGTGCTGGAGAGACAAACCCTGTCCCGCCCTCTACTTTTTAAAGAGCAGGAACTCAGAAAATACGTATTCAACATTGCACTGGGAAGGTATTAAGTCCTCAGCTAGAGAGCAGATCAAAGAGGACACTGTAATAATCTTAAGTAATCAAGACATTGCTGCTGGTGTGGCAAAATGGAAGAGAAGATGGGGAGGAAGTGGAGTGACCTAGAAGACAAGGTTAGGCAGGGAAAGCCCAGAAGTCAGGAAGTGAGTGTACCTCTCCAACAGGATAGACAAACACACCCACACAACAATTACATCACACAGGGAGTCTCTTCACAGGCCAAAATCTGTAACACTAAAGCACTGAATAACACAGCAGTTCACGCTATGATAGCATTGCTGTTAATGCAGATAACAATTTCCATTACTAAAACACAAACTGCTATTTCAAATAGTTTTGAAATCTGGAAATATATGCTTAACTGAAATACTGTTTGTATTTGGTGCTTCTTTGGTCAATGAGGCTATATTCCTTTAAGTGAAAGTAAGACAGAAGGGAATGTGGCTTCAAAAATATCTTTTCTGATGAAATGAGAAAATTTTCACTTCAGGAATAAGGCCCCATGTGAAACTGGGAAAATGGACTCAGAATGATGTCAGACCAGAGAGCCCTTTCAGTGTACTCTTATAAGAATTCAGTTAAACCTATCCCAGAAAGGGCATCACTGTACTAACAAATACCTTGCCATTAATTCATCTCAAAAGTTTCTGTTCTTTCAAGCAGACAATCATTGCTGGAAAGAGCAAACTTGCCCATGAAGCTGTATGTAGATTGGTTTACCCATAGTAAAACAGTCTATGGATTCTCTCCTCTCCACCTGCAGATGATGCTTTCTTTAGCACACACTTACCACCATGTTTTTAATAAAGATTGTTTACAACTGTTCCAAGAACAGACGAAAGGTAATGCTCATTCTTTCTGTATGATTTCTGCTGTTTTTTCCCCTCTATGCTGTGTAGCAGGACACAAAGTCCCATGACTTCAGAGTTAGGCCCATTAAGTTTACTGTACCAGAAGGAATTACACAAGCTAATAAAAGGATTTAGCATTGCATCTACTTTTTTACTGTCAAAGGGCATAAATTTCAAGTTCAGAACAGCAAATTTTCTACCATTGCTTTTATATGAACACACATTTGTAGAGTAAGTGTTAGACATTTTAACCAAGAGAAAAAAAATAGTTTTGATGTTGTCCACATCTAACACTTTCAACTTAGTAAGGTAGAATTAGGTCATCACACCATAAGAACTAACCCAAGAAACTGATTTTACACATGCAAGAAGCCCAGCTGAGTAGAGAGGGTCTGAGGTTTGCAGGGATACTCTTTCACACCTGTTACTGGACCAAATCCTCCAGCTTCCTACTTGAAGAAGATTTCTATTAACTTTCAGGAATAAGAACACACAAACTCAAATTCTTGTCTTTCCTTTTACGCTTTTTTTCCTCCCACCGTGTGGCTGTAAATCTTCACTTCCCACTGGCTCAAGGAAATTCCTAACACTCAAAACATGACAACTCAGTAGCACAGGTATTGCTTCCAACTCAAACTAGGAATCATGAGTGACTGTGACAGTCTGATCCCCTAAAACAAACTGTGAATGATGGAAAGTGGATTCATCACTTCTAAATATCTTTACATACATTTATACGTTTAAAGGTCTCATTTCACACAGGTCTTCTCTGATGAAAATTAAGTTAATCATTACTTATTAAATCAGCATTATTGATTACAGCAAATTTCTTAGAAATGAGATTAATTAAAAAAAAAAAAAATATCAGTCAGTCTTTGTCCTCAAGAAAATGCTAGCAACGCCTTGGTATTTTGGCTAGTACTATTATATTAGCCAGGATTTGTAATAAGAAGAATAAAACAAAATGGTTTATTAAATCCTGAACAATCTGGAAAAATCCTTATTGTGGGGAAAAAAGTATGCTATTAGCATGTTTATATTTCTACATAGCTTGAAAATATGTTGCAAACACACAACAGATGGTCTGACGTTATTTGACGTGTTTTAGGTTTTTTAAACCATCCGCAGCCCCATCCTCTCTAAAAAATACAGCTTAGCTGGGATTAAATTTATCAGTGAATTTAGATTGCATTTGCCACAGTCATAACAGCAGCTGCCTTGGCCCACCACCAGGCCTTGGTCACTTCCAAAACCATTATGTAAGCCCCACACCTAACAGTATTAAAACGTGTCATACTTTAAATGGTAAGAATATTTTAGTCAGATTTACTTCAGAGGTTATAAAAACCAGGAAGATATCCTTAATTAAGATTTAGAAGCTACAAATTGTCACCCAAACTTTTTTTTGCCTCTGACTGTTACAATTCTGTTGCAAAAACCTGTGACATATTACGTGGGTGGTAAACTGCAGTACTTTGAACACCATAATATTTTAATGAACTGTTAACTCATACATTAAAGGATGTACTGGGAAAAAGAATTGCTAAAAGAACATTATTTCTTGTTTTTAAGAGAAGGAAGTGAAAGCAAAGTGATCGCTATTTCTAAAAGAGATTCAGCATTCTCCTTGCTGAAGCTTACACATAGATTTTTATATAAAAGTATGCAGAAGTTCTAGAAGAAATGTATGAACTACAGACTCTTAATGAAGCCTCAAATCAGCTTAATAGTACTGATTTCATGCTCAGACTATGCCTGCACTTGCCCTGACACAGCTCAAAGCTGGACCATACCGTTGCACTTGTTGGATCCTGGAATGTTCTAGCTGCACCATCCTGCTGGTGCTCGCTCAAAGCGGCAGATCGGTTCAATCCTGACGTGTTTGAGGGTCCAGCATCAGACTTCCTGGATGAATTGACTTCTGCCTACAAGGAGTAGATAAGCACGCTTCAAAGGCACGATCAAAATTGCTCAAAAAAGATTTGACTTATTTTGGAATGTGTGTTTTAATATATGGAGAATATGAGACTTACTGAAATGTGATAATCGAGTATGCCAACTGTGTTTCAATTACACACCAACAGGTTTAAGAAATTCCCATTCCTTAGAAAGAAGACTATAGATGTGAAAACATCAGTTTAAAGAACAACTTTGTTTGTTTGCACATAACAGACAAGACACACAAAATTCACACAGATGTACGGAGCAAAAAAAAGAAAATTCTTTAGAAAATCCAGAACATTATGCCAGAAATAACACCATTTTTTAAACCTTCTGTTTCTTATGTCCTTCACTGAATGCTGCTTACTGGTGTTACAAGTGAACCACTAGAACCAGTTTCTCAGCAAGACTAGCCTCTGGTAAGTGTTAATTTAATGGGGCTATACCAGTTCTAGTACTGAAGTTGCCTCTCAGGCAGAATGGACACATATGCATGGCTGTATCAGGCACACATACCTCAGTTTCCAGTATTTGGATTTCAGCACAAGCAGACCAAAAGAAAAAAATACAAGTCTTACAATACTGGTTTTTGTACGTGTTTATAAAACGCCTAATAAGCATCAACTCTCAGAATTCAGGTTTCATGCTTTTGGAAATGAGACAAGAGGTCAGTAGTGACACACAGAGAGTCACAAAACAGGATATATGCCTCCAATAATCCCTTGGGAATGGAGAGGGAAATAGCATCACAGTCCTGAACTGAAACACTTTAAAATATATACACATCCAAAAAGAAAGAGTCATGAACAAATCCACTTTCATCAGCAAGCCAACTCTCAAATCATATATCTAGATCTCAATTTACAAGATGACAATTCCAAATCTAATCATTTGTCTTCAAATGCAGATATAAGTAGTGGTAGTTGTGGTAAGAAATACAAATGGTGTCTTAGAAACCAACCAGTTATTGTGATAACAAACTGTAAGATTACAAGATAATATTCTTTCATCATACTATTTTGTATGAGGAAATTAAATTCCTTGTTTCTTGACATATATTATCTCAGGCAAATCCAAAAAGTATGCCACTGAAACAACCTGAAGATGAATTTAAGACTTAAAATAATTTATAATCTGATAACACTGCACTTGACTATTACGAACTCTAATATTAGATCTGTCAAGTTATGACTCAAACATGAACCAGCAACAAAGCAACACAAGATCACGAATAATTTAGGCTGGAGTGGACCTCAAAATTCATCTGGTCCAACTCCCTCCTCAAACAGAGCCATGCTCAGTCAAGTTTTAAACCTCCAAAGCTGGAGATTCCACAGGCTCTCTGGGTAGCCTGCTCCAGCATTTGGCAACCCGCAGGGTGAACTTCCCTCTCCCATATCCAGTTTTAAGTCCTTTCCCTGGAACCTGTGAGTACAGCTCTTCATAATTCTGCTTTTTCCTATGAAAAGCTCAGTTCATCCTTACTGTTCATCTCTACAAAGCAAATACACTACAAAAGATGTATTTGATTTATTTTAGTTTATTGAAGTACTAAATCTAGCATGCTAGATTGAAGTCAGACTAACATTGAAAAAAATAAAAAACACTTCAAAGTTCCCCAAACCGAAATATCTTTTTTGTCACTTAGTCTCTCTTTTCTCCAGCCCTTACTTCTGCTTCCAGAAAAGCTAGTGAGAACACAGATATTAAGGAAAGATCATCAATATATTTAAATGTAATAGCGAGGGTGAGTGGAGAATTAATTTCTTTGCAAAATACGCCTTGTGATCACAACATAGAGATAAAACATACTGTTTTACAGTAACGCATATGCTATTAGTCATCTATCTCTTCAAGTGGAATGTAATTTATGGTGTATAGCACCTAAAATCTACAGAACGATTTTCAAATCAATGTAAAGCTGATTAAAAAAAAAAAAAGTAATTTTCTATTAAAACAGACAGGAACAAAGTTAGAGGTTTACAGAAGCAGGAAAACTGTAATGAGGATGTGTGGTTTGATTTTTCTCCTGAATTTTGCATTCCTTTCTCAACACAACACGTTTTTTTTTTAAAAAAAAAAAGTTACCAGCATTAAGCAAAATGGTATGAAATAATTTCTCATAATCCCAGGATCATCTAGAAAATGTTAGGAAGTATCTTCTTTAAGGATCAAGATAATGCAGAGATGGGTAGTATGTTTGCTAGTACAGAGACTCTCTCAAATGATACACTCAATCAGCAGGCTGATATTAAATCCTACCCCATAAATTGACATGGAATATATCCAAATGATTTGAAACTTCTGTATTTCCCTGATAGTAATTCATACTGTTAATTTACTAGAAACACATCAATTGAATACCTCAGCCTAACATCAAAGTCAAGCAAAGCAAAGAAGCAGGAAGCTTAAAAAAAAAACCAATCCCTAAAATTTGATTTGAGAAAGGAAGAGAAGACACAACCAGAGGACAAAACTCATTTACCCTGTAAAAACCCCACAATGGATTGTAAAAAGTTGTAGAAACCTAAGGCTTTCGCTCATTTTTCCCTTGCTGAGTGCTTGTTCTTAGGAGGTGGAGTTAAGTATGTGGGTACATGGAATGCACCAATATTTTTTAGAAATTGATTTCCCTAAGTCTTTCATTTTAAAACTGAAAAATGAATCTGTGAAAGTTAAGAGTTATTTCTGAAAAAAACAAAACAAAAAACCTCTGATATTTCTTGAATTTTTGTGACAGAAGACTGGCGGTCCTTAAGTAAAAATGAGTACTATACTTTTTAAACCCTTATATGTTGTAAAAGAGCCAGGAGAAATTAGCCCATTGTTCCTCCAAGTAGCTCAACATTAAAATCCTCTCCCCCTGCCTCTTCATCTTTGCAAAATAATTGGAGATATTTTTCTCATAAGCATTATTACACACAGACCCAGCCATGTCAACATGACTAAACGTGAGATCGTGCAGGGATATGTAGCTCCTGCAAGACTGGCAGGAATACTCAGTAGGAGGCAATCTTTATTCTCATGGCACACAAAAAGAAAGCAGAAGTCTTTTAGGACAGTGTTAGAAGAACATTGGTGATAAAAGGGGACACATTAGCACCCCTGACCTTAATGAGGATATATTCTGCACCAGTGCCATATTATCATAATACATGTCACTGTGTTTCCCTGCCCTCATGCACAGCAGTCTTCCTTAGTGGCTGATTTAAGAGTTTAGTGGAAAACTCAGTGAAAAACACCACTGTGCATGCAAGACATGCAATTTTCTAAGGCACGTATTTGGCTAAACAAACCTTACTTTCATTGAAACACAAGCTAGAGAACACATTTTTGGGTAACAGTAGCTTCCATCTCAGTGTTCAACTTTCAGTGTCTTCAGCTGCAGAGTAGTTCAAAAGAATTTGCAACCACTTTTCAGTAGGAATATGTTTTATTCCTTCCATAAGCCAAAAGGAGAAAAAAAAATCACAAAGGAAAACAAATTTAGGTTAACTTTGCCCAAACTTCCCTAATACGTTTATGATAATACTGACTTTGGAGAATTTAATCAAGTTATTAGTGACTAAAAACATGAAAGTAAAATCAACATAGTTAGGCAGTTCTTACCACAGTGCTCACCACAGAAATTAAAACTAATCAGTCAGTGCTTGAGATGCACAATTTATTAACTGGCATATTGCCAGAGATCCACCCCTATTTTTCCTCTTTTAGACTACCCTACAAAAAGGCAGGTTTCCACATACTGATTGAGTTTTATGAAATTATGAATTCTTCAGCAATGTAGAAGTTTTTCATCTAATTTTTTTTTTTTTTTTTTTTTTAAATTCTATACAACAGAGATAAAAGTTTAAACCGTGACTTCACCTTGAAGCTAATTTGTCTGGCAAGTTCTTTAGCCTCCTCGTCCGCCTGGCTCGACACGCTTCCGGATGTTAGTGGTAAGAGGGCTGTCTTCATAGATGTGCCACACATTTCACAACAGAAGTCTTGTGACCTGGCCACAAATGACATAGCTCAGAATAGCATGTTCTCATAATGTTATTGTGTCCTTATTTAAACGAACTACTTGAAAAACAATCCACAGAAAGACAAGTGGTGTCAAGAACTGTAGCTTAAAAGCACTTCCCTCTGCCCAAAATCACACTATCTTGAAAAAATATGTTGAGAATTATGTATACTACAAATACATTTTTTTGTATCTCATTTAGGAAAATATTAACAACCAACTTACATATTGCTATTATCTCTACTTTATTGAAAATTTGTTGCCATGTTAAAACTTACTTTATATCCACAGCAAATGAAAAATTGGAAATTGTAAAGATCCAACTATTATTACAAATATTAAATTGGACCTTCCACCAAGACTTCCACCACTGGACCTTCCAGACACTTCCACCTCCTATCCAGGAATTTCAGCTCTGCAAGATCATTACCCTTCCTCTCTTGCACACATCACTTGTCTACAGGGCAGCTGTAGCTGTTGGCTCTCCAAGCCAAAAAAAAACCACACAGCCTTGATAGCACAGTATCAAGACCAACCCCCTAAACCCTACCTCTCAGCAGGGTTTATTAGCTTTGACTCAGTGCCTTGCTGACAGGAAAAGCTGCAGCTTCCAATTGGCTCAGAGTACAGGCAGAATAAGCACACAGCTGCCTGCAAAATAAGGTACTAGTTACAATTTGGAATACGCTAACTTTGCTTATAAAATAGGGTTATGGTCTTTCAAGTGCCTTCTGCTTCCCAGATGGGGAAAGAAGAAGTACCAAAAAAAAAAAAAAACCCACAGGTGTAAGACTTCCTATAAGGATAACCACAGAATAGCTGAGGTTGGGAGAGACCTCTAAAGACTATTTAGTCCAGTCTCCTCGCTCAGTGCAGGGTCAAGCAGAACATGTTGCTCAGGTCTGTTTCCAGTCACATTTTTAACATCTCCAAGGATGAAGACTCTACCACCTCTCTGAGCAACCTGTGCTACTGCTTTGACCATCCTCACAGTAAAAAGGTGTTCTGAATTTTGTGGGTTTCAGTCTGTGACCGTTGCCTCTTGTCCTGTCGCTGGATGCCACTGAGAAGAGCCCAGCTCTGCCTTCTTTACACCTTCCTTTCAGACACTTGTACACGTGGATAAGATCCCATGAGCCTTTTCTTCTCTAGGCTGAACGCTGTCACCTCTTTTGGCCTCTCTTTGTATAAAATATGTTCCAGCCCTTCAAGCATTTTCGTGGCACTGCATTGGATTCACTCCAGTAAACCCACTTCTTTCTTGTGCCTTGACCTTCACACAGCCCCAACCTGTACCCAGCACTCCAGATGTCTCACCAGTGCTGGGTACAGAGCACTGGTTCCGATCACTTCCCTTCATCTGCTGACAACGCTCTTCCCCAGTGAAGCCCAGGATACCATTAGCCCTCTTTGCTGCGAGGGCACATTGCTGCCCTGTGGTCAGCTTGGTGTCCACCAGCACACCCAGGTCCTTCTCTACCAAGGTCCTTTCCAGCTGGTTGGCTGGCATTATTCCTTCCCACAGGGCTTTGCTTTTCTCTTTGTTGAACTGCATGAAACTCCTCCAGCCCACAGAGGTTCCTCCAGATGGCAGCACAATCTTCTGGTGGGGCAGCCACTCCTCCCAGTTCTGTATTGTCTGAAAACTTGCTGGGGGTGCACTCTGCTCCATCATCCAGGTCATTAATGACACTGAATAGCACTGGTCCCAGTATTGACTCCTGGAGTACACCAGTGGTGACCAGCCTGTAGATGGACTTTGTGCTGCTTACCACAATCCTTTGAGCCAGCCAGCTAGGTTCTTAATCTACCTTACTGTCATCACTTACCTAGGCTGTACTTCATGAGCTTCTCCAGGAACATGGTAAGGGAGACAAAAGCCTTGCTAAAGTGAAGAGAGAATGTCCACTGCTTTCCCCTTGTAATCTAAGCTAATTATTTCATCCTAGTCACAAATCTAATTTTAAGTTAATGTCCTAAAAATCATTCAGCAGCAGTTGCTTCAGATTTTTTTGTCATTGTCTCATTATTATTATTTACTTAAGGGAAGTGATCCATCATTGTTTTGGTTGTTTTCTTCCCCACTTACACTTATTATCAATTCCGTCATACTCAACTTCCCTTCACTGTGCAATTACCACTCTATCACTATGTTAATTACATCTCTAAGCCTGAATTTCAGACAAAGCTCTAATCTGACCAGACAATACTGGAAGAAACACAGACCTCTCAAAGTATTTTGTTTGACTGTAACTTCCAAGTTTGCACAATGTCCAGGGAAAAAAAAAAAACAGTATGCACAAGACATGGAAGTTTTTTTTGTATTTGGAATATGTGCAAAAGAACAGACTGAAGGGACTTACATCCTGCTCAATAGCTCACCCTGAAAGCAAGCACATATATATGTACCTACAGTAACAAACTTAATGCTTACTTCTTTGCAAGAGCTCTTCTTTCTTCAGGTGTATAATCCAGAGATCCTATTGCTCCTTCACCTTTGGTTGGCATAAATCCAATAATGGCTAGTAAAGCTGTTCTTACTAAAATGGGAAAACAGAGATAGAAACAAGATTGCAGAAACAACTGTTATTTCATCTCACTCTAAATCCAGTATAGAAAAGTTTCAGTTCTGCTTGCAAAACTTAATTTTGTGCAGAGAACTAATCTGAATTTCATACAAGCAGCACTGGGGTTCTTTCTGGCACACTGCAAGGCTTTCTTCATTTTTTTAAACTTCACATTATAAATTAAAGGTAAGGTCTTTTTCTTCCATCACCCACTACAGAAGAGGAAAGATAAGCTGTCATGAAAGTGCTGCATGAATATAAAAATTAGAGTTCCAGGCTTTAAAAATGGAGTCTGAAGAAAAAAGGTGAGGCAGAATTTACATATAAGATGAGTGACGGGGGAAGAGAAGGACTCATAGGGCACTCTTATTTTTGTGCATGTTTTCTATCAGACACAAATTCTGCAATTTAGTGCAAATGAGCTCACTGGTCTTCTTTTACACAATGTACTACAAAATTTCTTCCTTTTCTGTCATCATGCTGGGGAATGAGCTTACTTCATTAATAATAACTCAAAACAGAACTGTGATCTAAAATATCTCTTTTGACAATATCTATCCTTCAATTTTGTTTTCTGTATTAATAAAATTTAAAAATTCAAGACACTTTGCTAGTAGATTTAGTAAATAAATATCGCTGGAAGGTAAGTACCACAAAGCAGAGATAGGGTATTTACACCTCCTACCTATAACACAGATTTTCTACTCTTAAAAAAAAAAAAAAAGAGACTTTTCAAAAGTGGAAGAGTAGTCTACTACGAAATTCATAAAATCTTATCAACTTATTTTAGAAGTGCAACTGATAATCAAAGAAATAATTGGTGTACAGTGCTCAGAAAAACTAAAATTATATAAACAAAAAAAATAAGGTTTTATTAAAAATATTTTAAATTTTTAAAAATGTTTTGTGATAAAATTTAAAAAAAAAATAGAAAATATTCAGTTTTTCTGAACTCAGATCATACTGTCTTTCCTCTTGAGTGTTTAGAAGTACAGCATCAAAATTAAAAGCTGATCACACTCCCCTCTGTCAATATTCAAGCTGGTTTTAGTGATTTTATGGGGTAAAATTATAGGATTTAAAGTATTTTCATAAGAAAAATTAAAAAAACAGGTAATATTTTAAGTAGTCTGAGACTTCTTAATGCTTGTGCACCCAAAGTAAGTGAAGAGTTCACCATCACCTGTTTCTTAACTCTTTCACCCTTCATTTATTATCAATCCCAAATCCTCCTATGTCACTCTTCCATGCCACTACATTTCTCAAATTCTCCTGTATTTTTACTCCCTCAAAATCTGTCTCATTTTCCACTATGAACATTTGTTGTGAGATTTTTTTTTTTTCAGTTTCAAGATCTAGTTGCTTGATGTTCCAAATCATCGCTACTTACTACTCCACGAAGGCTGCCATGTTTCAGGATGATGCCCTGAGATGCTTAAACAAATTTTCTTTCCCACTTCAAACCTGCCATTGGCCTTCAAAGGAAGAAGGAGGATATAGTAAAACATGCTGGAAGTTAACTCTTGGCTTTTGGTACAAGTTGTCAAAATCACCATCAAACAAATCTATATGCAAACAATAATCGGTAATTATATTACTGCCAACCTCACAAAAATTGCGTTCAGCCTTCTGAACAAAGAAGTCTGCCATCTGCCTCTATTCATGCATGAAAAAACCCTTAACTGATACCCTACCCGTCCCAGCGTGACATGGTGGCTTGCCTGTTGCTCCTCTAACCCACACACCACATGCAGAGAAGCCTGAAAAGCTACAGCTCTAAGGAACCATGCACAAATACAGGCCTTTGCCCCAAACCATAGGTCTGCCTTCCTACACGTGACTAATGCCTCCAACAGAGACCAGGAGGGCCATGGAGAGAACAGAAGGTGAGATTCCCATCAGCGATGTGATTACTCCTGGAGAAAACTTCCATTTATTAGGTGCGAGGCTTCATGTAATTGCAAACACTAAAGTCACCTTGGAAGACTCCTGGTCTTAAACTGGCAGCATTAACTGTACTACACCACCTTTCTTACAAAAGCAAAATTACATTAAATGCCAAGAATCATTCTCAGACAGCTGAGGTTAAACTGATCATGTAGAAAGGAGAAACTAGTAAACACTTACCGTCAGCAAAATAATGCTGGGAGGTTTCATGGGATATTCTGGTGGTAGTACTATTCGGCCGTGATAAACCCCTCCATCAAAATCTGAATCTGGAGGACCTCTAACAGTAAAGTGCCATTCAAAAAGATTATCCTAAGATGATTCCACAAAAGGGAGGGGAAAAAAAAAAAAAAAAAAGAACATGTCAAAGAAGTAGATAACCAAACGTGATTTTCTTGACACAAGGACAGACTAAGGAAATGGTGCACAAAAAGTTATCACAGAAAAAAGAAAAAAAGAATCACAGAAGCTTTTAAGTTGGAAAAGACACTTAAGATGGAGTCCAACCATAAACCTAGCACTGCCAAGTCCACCAACAGACCACATCCCTAAGCAGCACCCCTACACGTCTTTTAAATACCTCCAGGAATGGCCACTCAACCACTGGAATAGGCTGCTCTGGGAAGTGGTTAGCAACCCTTTCTGTGAAGAAATTTTTCATAATGTTCAATCTAAACCTTCCCAGCACAACTTGAGGCCATTTTTTCTTGTCCTATTGCTTGTTACTTGGGAGAACAGATGGACTTTCACCTCCCTACAACCTCCTTTCACATAGTTACAGAGAGGAAGAAAGTCTCCACTGAGCCTCCTTTTATCCAAGCTAAACAACCCCAGTTACCTAGCTGCTCCTTACAAGACTTGTTCTCTAGACCCTTCATCAGCTTCACTGCCCTTCTGTGGACATGCTCCAGCACCTCAGTGTCTTTGTAGCGAGGGGCCCAAAACTGAACACAGTATTCAATGTGACCTCATCAGTGCCAAGTACAGGGTTATAGTCACTTCCTTAGTCCTGTTGGTCCTATTTCTGATACAAGCCAGGATGCTGTTGGCCACCTTGGCCACCTGGGCACACTGCCAACTCACATTCAGCCAGCTGCAAACAACAGTCCCAGGTCCTTTTCTGCTGGGCAGCTTTCCAGCCACTCTTCCCCAAGCCTGTAGTATTGCACGGAGTTGTTGTGAAC